GTGGCCAGTGATTATTGATATCAGCCTACTTAACTGCGGTCTTTGGAGACCAAGAAGATATTTAGACCTTTGAGGATCCATTTGTGGCCACAGTGCTCTACATGTTGAGCACGTGTGTTCACGCGACCATTTGTCGCGAGCGATGCAGAGGCATTTTTCACTGATTTGCCTCTCAACTGCAAGTAGTGGTATACCGCAGAACTGATCAATATCCATTCTGCTAAGCATAGTGCCAGCTCTTGCCAATGTGTCAGCAATACCGTTGCCATACGAATTCCCATGTCCCTTTACCCAGATTAGGGTGATGTTCGAATGTCTCGCCATCTCATTGAGAGACGTCCGGCATTCATGGACAATTTTGGATGTGGAGAACACACCAGTTAGGGATTTAATAGCAGCTTGACTATCAGTATAAATTCTGATATCCCTATTAGATATCCGATAGTACCTTAGCCAATTTACCGCCCTCCTTATCGCCGATATTTCAGCCTGAAGGATACTACATTCATCATTAAGTCGAAAGGAGATTTTCGTTCCAAATTCCTCAATGAAAATGCCACCACCAACTCCTTTCGTCGTCTTGGATCCGTCTGTATACACTCGGAAGCAATTATTCGGCGGAAGGAGAGATTCCTCATACTCCGAAGATATATGATATTGGAACTTTCTCACTAGAGATGGTACTGGAATACAATAATCAACAATGTACTGATTATCCGGTATAAGATCTATGATCCTAGCATGGCCTATGGAGCATTGTTTCCATTTGCCAGTTACACTCAATCTGGCCGCAGTTGACATAGCCAATTTCCTTGCAAGGAGATCGACCGAGAGCCAGTTGAGCATAGTGAACAGCGCCTTCGAAGGAGTTGTTCTGAGAGCGCCTGTTATAAGAAGCGCAGTTGATCTCATTACTTTTTCCAGTTGTTGTCTGAGTGAAGCCTTTTCAAGCGCGTGCCACCATACAACAACCCCATATAGCATAATAGGTTTAATAACTGCCTCAAAGAGCCAGTGAACATTCTTTGGATTTATGCCCCAGCATGTTCCTATAGCCTTCCTACAAACATATAGTGCCGTAATGGCTTTAGATGCCCTAGAGAGTACATTTGTACTCCAAGATAGTCTCTTATCTAGGATAACGCCAAGATATTTAGCGCTGTCCGAGAGTTTTAATACTTCGCCGTTAAGGCAAGGAAGAGGAAATAAAGGAATCTTGTATTTGCTAGAGAATAGCACAAGTTCCGTTTTACTAGGATTTACACTAAGACCACATTCGACACTCCACGAGCTAATGATCTTTAGTGCTTGTTCTAGCCTTTGGGATATGGTTTCAAGGTGATCGCCTGATACCGCAACAGCGACGTCATCAGCATAGGCGACTGTTTTATAGCCAAGAGAGTCAAGTTTTACCAGAATATCATTTATGGCCATGTTCCATAAGAGTGGTGATAGTACTCCCCCTTGTGGAGTACCTCTTAAAGCTTTACTAGAGATTACTGTATCTCCTAAGGAGGATTCAATGATCCTATTTGAGAGAAGACTCTCGACAAATCCCACAACTGACCTACCAAACCCAGCCCGAGATAGAGATTGGCAGATAGATGCAGGATTGACGTTATTAAAAGCGCCTTCTATATCAAGAAAGGCAACCAGTGAATAATTTCCATACCTCATGGATTTTTCAATATGACCAACGAGAGTATGAAGAGCCGTCTCAACAGATTTGCCCTTCGTGTATGCATGTTGAGAGGCAGAGAGAAAGGATTTATCTATCGAGGTCCTAATGTGGATATCGATTATCCTTTCCAATGTTTTCAGCATAAATGATGCCAGACATATTGGTCTGTAATCTTTTGCCTTAGTGTGTGAAGTTTTTCCCCCCTTGGGAATAAAAATCACATTACACTTGGTCCATTGAGTAGGAATGTATGACCAAGAGAGACAGGCTGTGTATAAGTTCCGCAGCCAAGGAACTACAAGATCTATATTGTGTTGAAGATCTGCAGGAATAATACCATCAGGGCCGGGCGCTTTGTAAGGATCAAAGCTTTTAATTGCCCAACGGATAATGTCATCTTCAATAGGCACGTGTGTTACAGTCCGCATTGAAGTTGGAGAGAAATTAGTCAAATCACTAATTGGAATACAACCAGGAAAGTGAGTACTAAGGAGAAGCTCTAAAGTCTCCTGACTACCTGAAGTCCAGCTCCCATCCATTTTCTGTATATAGCTAGGAACAGAAGGGGACTTTGACAAAATTTTACGGAGACGACTGGTTTCGGAAGAGCTTTCAATATTGCTACAGAAAACCCTCCACGAGTTCCGCTTCGCATTCCGAACCAGATTTTTAAACTTATTAACGTTTGCCTTATAAAGGGACCAGTTACCTGATCTCTTAGCCTCGTTAAAAGAACGGCGGCATGTCCTGGATAGTGGTAAGAATGTAGTTCTTCTTTCAGTGGATCTGTCAAAAGCGTTTGACAGAGTGATACACTCTAAACTTGTTGAAAAATTGTATATCTAATTTAGTATTTCATTACTGGCCTGCGAACTTATATGCTCATATTTAAGAGGTAGAAGTCAATTTGTTTCTATTGGCAATTCTGTTTCTTCAGATCTCCCGATATCTAGTGGTGTTCCGCAAGGTTCAGTTGTTGGTCCGTTGTTGTTCATGATTTACATGAATGACCTTTTTAATGTCTGAATGGACTATCCTGCCAGCAATACGTTTATGCTGATGATGTTCAGTTTATTTGCTATGCTGATAAAAACTTTTTAGACGTCTTGCAAGTAGGTGTAAATTTTGTAATTAGTGAAGTACTGTCTTGGGCCTCTGATAATGGATTTACTGTAAATCCAAGAAAAACAAGTATGATTGGTTTTGATTCACAAAACATGATAATTACCCTTGATGGTATGAGAGTAGATTTTGTTAATAGAATGAAGTGTCTTTTGGTTTTTATTGATGATCGGCTTAACTTTTGATCACATATTGATCACGTTTCATCTAAAATATCTTTTTTGCTGAAAAGGTTATATTCTTTGGATCTATACTTTCCTTTGTGGATAAAAATTCGCCTTGCTAAAACCTTTCTAATGCTTCACATTCTTTACTGTGTTGAGGTATTTAGTGGCACTACTAATGTAGAATTTAAAAGAGTTGTTAAAATATTTAATAGAATAGTGAGATTTGTATATAGACCAAGACTACGTCCCCATATTTCTCCTTATGTATTACAATTTCTTGGGTGTTCGTTTCAAAATTATATTAATATCAGGATTTTACTGTTCTTTTATAAAATTATGGTAAATGGCTTTCCTGAATATATTGTAGATAATATTAATTTCAATTATTACAGCGGAAACCCACATTTATTATATCCCCGGTTTCATTCAAATACATATATATAATAATTCATTTCAGATTAGAATGTCGAGGATGTGGAATGACCTGCCTAGGGATTTGAAGCTTTTCTCGGCTTCGCCGCTCGGTTTTAGGCGAAAGCTTGAAAAATATGTTATTGACCATGATCTTCGATTGGTGCATTTGTAATTACCACTCGAATTTTCTCTTTCAACTTGTATTCATTTCTAATATAAAAGGAATATAACCATTTAGACAATTTAATATTATCATAAAATTTTTTTATTGTTTATTACTATTTTATTTTTATTATTTTTTATTATATGTTTAACACTTTCTCTAAAAATGTGTTATAATTATTGTTGTAGTAGCTTTTTATAACTATATATGGCCTAAAAGGCTCGGTTATAATAAATGAAGAAATAAAAAAAAATCATATTCTGTATCTCCGAAGTGGCCTTTCGAACCATAGTGCATTGTTGAAAATCTACATACATTCTTTGTTATTCCTGAATTTTGAATAAAGGTTTTTTTGTCTATAAATAAAATTTATCACATAAATACGATCATATGCTCTTTATTTCGACGAATCAGTATTATACTTATGTATAACTATACATATTTAAAAATTGTATTGCAACACAAAGATATATAAATAACTATAATTATATATTTAATATACAAATAAAATTACTGACAACCTACATAAAACACGGTTACATTAAAAAATTAATTTTCATTTTTTTCTATACATTCATATTAATTTATTTTTAGTATGTGTATTCATATTGTAAGTATTACTCGTTCAAAAAGCAACATGTTATGGCTATGGCCGATAGTACAATTAAGACATGCTATAGAGTTTCTAAAGTAAGTACATAAATGTACAAAAGTATTACCGAATGGAACAATTATTTCATCCGTGTTTTCTGTTTCTACAGACTTGATATACATATTTTATTACAATATTATTTAACAACCACAAAAATTAAAACGATTTGTAAATACGAGTTCATATTCTACGAGTAAGAACCTTACTAAAAATTACTTATTTATCTTAATTTAAATAGAGAAATAATATTAATATCGCCGTTTGCTAGAAATCATATTAAAATTAATAAATTTCTGTTTTATAATTTTTTAAATACATTTTTACATTTGCGATAAGTATTTGTATTTGTGGTTATTTGAAACATACAATAGTACAATATTATAACGCAAATGTATTATTACATTCATCTATCCACTCTCATCGGCTTTTATAAACTCTATCTACGGCGGAAGAAATAACTTACGATAATATAGGGCACGACAGCGCCAAAATAAAGACAGAATAGCTCGCCAACATCCCTCAAAAATGAATAAATATACATACATAGAATTGAATATATTTTTCAATTAGACAGCAAGTATAAATGCAGATGTTTTTGTGTATGTAAAATTAAAATAATAACTAAGTATTTCTTAAACATATGAATAACAAGGTTAATAAGTGAGTGAAGATATACCCTCAATTGTTAATGTATAGTTATTTATGTATATTTAGTTAAGTGTTTTCCAGATGTTTAAATAGTCTTAAATAAATTAATATAATATTCCTAAACTAATAAGTATATGCTGTTTCTATATTTACCTTTTTAGTTGGTATTTGGGGCACTTGAAGATGATATTGATCTTCGCAATATTGGCGTAATAGATGAATACCTTCAGTTCGATTATTAGCATAACGCGATTCCCATGCATCTAATAAACGATTGTAGTACCGAGGTGCTTCAGTATATTTTAAATATTTGTAAGTGTCTATGGTAGGGAAAATCCGTTCCAATGGTGAACATCGTGCCAATTCGTCTTCAGCAATTACGAGGCATCGTACATCATCCGGCGTTAAATGTTCCAAAATACCATTAACGTACTTTTGAAAGAAAAAAATGAAATAGAGTTTATTTTTTATTATAAAAAAGTGGGTTTGAAAGTGGTATAAGTCCATTTGAGATATAAAAATTTTATTAAAAACAAAGGGATTTATAGCATTTTCAAAATAAACATTCTCTTTTTATTGATATTATTTGAATTTATAAAAATATCATGTTTTCTAACAGAAATATGTAAACAGGATAATAAAATAATGGCTCAACCAAAACCTTAGTTGTTTCTATAAATTTTATCAATCTCTCCATTGAGGAACTGCAGCTAATAATAGGTATTATTTTTAATTGAAAATCAAAATTTAAATAAAGACAGATTTTCATTCTTTTCTCGATTGGCAATTGCACAAAAATATAAAATATGATATAATTTATTTATTTATATATAAATACCTCATCACGATCCTCCATACTTTTACGGGTGAAAGTATTATGCTTGATTTTTTCAGCTCGCGATAAATAATTAATATACATCCGTTTATCGTAACATATAGGTCCTGGCGGCAATGACATTTCCATAGCAATTTCTCTTTGTCGCTCGATAGGAATTTTAGGTGGTATCTAAAAATATATTTTTATAACTTTTAACTATTATACACATACATATATATTACGATACATACTCGCATATGTACGTACATATGAAATAAATTCTTACATTATATAAAGCTGTATTTAAAACACTTTGGACAAGTGGAGCTTTTACATGTGAATCTAGTGGTAGCTCAGAATGCAATGACGGTGAAATATTTACTTCTAATAGCCAAGGAACTAAATCCGCATCTAAGAGAACATCAAAACCAAATAGCTCAAAGCAACTGTACTTTGACTCGACATTCGCTCTTATCATATTGTTAATTGAATTTTCGCCAGCTAAAATTGTACGCAGTACTAAACTTTTTAAAGCTGACCACAACAGATCCGTACGAACACCACGACTTCCCAAATATGTCCACAACGATTTTATCGTCCACTTGTGGCCATGGCAGGCGTTGACATCTTCATTCTTAGAATAGTTAGATGAAAATTTGTTTATGCTATAATTGGTTAAATGCATACAACGGTCGTTTAATGTATCTGATTTGTCACTATATTTAACTGCAATAAAAATTAAATATATCAAAAAATCAAAAAATAATCCAAGAGAAAAAATTTAAATAAAATAAAAATTTACAATTGAAAAAAGAGAAAAAAAGAAAAATTAACAGAATCAATGTCAAAAAAAAAAAAAAAAAAAAAAAATAATAATTTACAAAAAATAACAAAAGCAAGTAATAGTCTAAAATTTAGTTTCTTTTTAAACATATGAGTGTGAATAGATAAAAAAATTTTCATAAATATGGCCTTAAATCTCATGGATCTTGTGTTTCTTCAGGCTTCCTAGGATATCGGGTATGTTCTCACTCAGGGAATAATCAAGAATCTCTTCCAATGATTTATCAATTCTCGAAATAGGGCAATCCACTAGCAAGTGGGGAATAGAAAGGTCTACATCACAAGAGAAGCATTTTGGTGGATCAGTTTTCTCATAATAAAACCTTGTGTTATATACAGCCTTTCCAACTCTCATACGTGCCAGTAAAATACACTGGCTTCTGGTTAAATGAATGTTGTATTTGGGTCTGTTAAAGCGTTGGCCACGGATTGCGTTACAGGGATTCGATAAAACTTAGGGAAAGCATGGTATTTCAGTTATACTAGGTAGGTTTATAGTCTCCTTGGCAGCAATATCTGCGCATTTATTCCCTTGAATACCAATGTGTGAAGGTATCCAAATAAGAGTAATGTTGCAATTTCCGCCATGACATAGTACATTTTCAAAAGACTTATTATGATTACCCAAGAGTGCTCTAGTGGCACTAAGACTATCTGTGCAAATCAAAGTTTCCTTCGCAAGTTCAATGGAGTATTCTATAGCACTTTTGATTGCCGCCATTTCAGCTGTAAAAATACCAGTGAAATCAGGTAAACGTTCCCGGCGAATGACGTCAAACTGAGATGATGAAATTTGTCTTACAATTGCATAGGATGTTTTACCATTCATATAAGAACCATCCGTAAAAAGTACAGTTTCAGGAGCGTATACCGAAATTTTCTCCGCCAACATTTTCCTGAAACACATTGGATTCATGGAGTCCTTATTATATACACTGAGACTGTCATCAATGTTAATATAAACGCCAGTGTTATTCGTGATGATTGGTCTCTGTGGTATAGAAACTTCATTTCTTTCCAATAGGGATAACACGTTCCCAATAGAGCATGGTATATATATACATGGTATAATATACCTCCAAAAAAGTTCATGAAGTCCATCGGATTTTATAGTTATACCCCTTGCAGCAATTCCAACGGAGCTTTTTTCTAAAAGAGATTGGAAATCTAAAAATTTTGCCTCATTTCTTAGTGACTGAATAGGTGTAGGTCTTAGTAAGCCAGATGCAGTTCTAAAACAGGTGTTATGTTGGGTGTTGATTTTAGAAATATTCCTCTTTGAAGTCCATCCATAAATTGTTATCCCATGCAAAAGTACTCCTGTGGTCAAAGATCTACATATATTCAACGAAGTTTCCATATGGGGCCCCTTATTACGGGAGCAAATAAGTTTCAGTAAGTTGTTCACCTTACTCAACTTGGTCTTCAGAAAATTTACGTGAGTATTCCATAGCATGTTCTTAGTAAAGTATATACCCAATATTCGCATTTGATCAGATATATGCAGGTCACATCCATTTAAGTGTATTTCATTTGAAACGCAGTATCGCTTTCTACATACATGGAGAATCTCAGTTTTTTCAATGGGGATAACAGCTCCCCTACTCTTTGCCCAGTTTTGAATTTCCCGATCCAACATTTCCAAGTTTTGCCGGACCGTTTCGGATTCACCAGATACAATAGCAAAAATATTATCAGCATATATCCCAAAGTGGTCAATTCCAGGTAGATTTTCAATGGCCTTCGATAATGAGTTGGCATAAATTGTGAAAAGGACTACAGATAGTGGAGATCCCTGAGGAACCCCGTTATCCAAAGGCCGTGTTGTAGAGAAAAAACCATCAACTCTGACCGCTACTTTGCGGTTTTGAAGAAAAGATTTTATAAGCCTTAAAATTTCCCTAGGCATACCCCATTCATTCAGTTCGAGTATAATGTAAGTTGCCACTACGCGGTCAAAAGCCTTCTCAATGTCCTCTGAGAGTACTAAACTATGTTTGCCATTTTTAAGGTTGCCACGTAAAGTTTCCTCTAGATTATGACATAAGGTATGCACACCGTGTCTGGGTATGAAAGCGTGTTGTGTTGTAGATATATTCTCACGTGCAAAATTCCAAAAACGTTTAGACATAATTTTCTCAAAAATCTTAGAGAGTACCGGTAGTAGAGAGATGGGTCGATAGCCTTCCAGTTGGTTGGGGTTCTTGCCTGGTTTTGGGATTGGTGATAGAATGGCTGTTTTCCAATCATGCGGATACACACTGCTGATCAAAATGTTGTTGTACAGATCACAAAGGCGTTGTTTCAGATTATCTGGTGCGTTTTTAACCATGGAATAAGTAATTTTGTCACGGGCAGGTGATGATACCTTTAAAGTCCTCAAGACATGATTCAGTTCAGAAATATCAATCGCTCGTATCATAATCGCGTAGCGGACACTGGATTGTGGTAATACATCAATATCGAGATTCATCTTCCCATCAACAATATCAGGGTCGAAAACTTGATCTGAACTGAGCGAACACCAATACTGAGCAAATTTCTCAGCAATCATCTCCGGGTGAGTAATATTATCATCGTCAACACATATGGTGGGAAAGTTATAAGTACCATCAGATCTTAAATTATTTACCTTTTTCCATAGAAAACGAATATCCATTACAGGGTTCAGAGAATTGAGAAAATGTTCCCATGTAAGCCTTTTCGCATTTTTACTCTCCTTTTTGACCATTGCACATGACCTTTTGTATTCCAAGCAATTATCTTTATTACGATGTCTTTTGAATAGTTCCCAAGCTTGCTGCCTCAAACGTATTAGTTTTGAAATTTTAGAGTTAAACCAAACGGGGTTATTCTTGTTTGGCGGTTTACGGCTGAGGGGAATTGCCTCATTCGCTGCTTTTCTTAATATTCGTTTGATCTGTGAAGCTTCCTTATTAATATTATCCGATCTTACAGACTGTTCAGTTATCTGAGTTGCTTTGGTGTTAAAAAGTGGCCAGTCCGCGTTTCCATCAAGGAAACGGGGAGAGAATTTTCTTCTGTGTTGATATTGTTGGAAATTCTGATCGGAAAATGGTCACCAGCTTCTGGCAATGATAGACAAGACCAAGATAATCCAGGGGCAAAATCAGCACTACACATGGAGACATCCACAGCAGTGAGAGTATTTCTGGTGTTCAGCAAAGTCGGTGCACCATCATTTAAGACTATTAACCCATTATCATCGGCGAAGGTCTCCCACATTCTCCCGTCAGGAGAATTGGTACTTGAACCCCATAAAATATTCTGTGCGTTGAAATCGCCTAATAGTAAGTGGTGAATATTTGCAGTAAAACGTATGTCATTTATAGAGGAAGTAGTCAATCTTGAAGTATGCTCCTTATAAATATTTATAATCTGCAATTTTAAACCACAGCTTATAATTACCGATTGGAACAACAAATCATCAGTTGATGTAGAGTGCTCTACTACATTTATACCATTCTTAATAAATAGAGCAATACCAGATTTTGCGTAAGTATATTCCTTGTTATGATGAAAAATCTTATATCCAGGAAGGTGTAGCAAGTGTAAAGTTTTATCAATTATATGAGCTTCTTGAAGTGCAATAATATTCGGTTTATATATAGCAACAAGTCTTTCCAAAGCATATTTGTTATTTATATACCCTTGAATATTCCATTGGAGAAGATTTATGCTAAAGCCATTATTCATGAAAAATTATTTATTCTTTACCTTTGAAGGTAATGTTTTCCTCAAAGTGTTCGGTGTTATGATGGTATTCAACTGGGGGAATTTCTTATATAATTGTGAACACGGAGTTGTTTCATTACCAGAATTATCCTTATTTGATCTTGGTGGGGTGTTTAAACCCAAGCCCTCATTTATATCTCTTATAACCATCTCCTCAGTAATGTTCTCATCGATTGGCATATTACTAATTTCCATATCATCTGTCGTATAATCGTCAAAAATGTCATCACTAACATGTGACCCAAATTGTAAATTGTCGTTACTAATATTTGAGTTATTTGTCTCAGAGGTGTGTGAAAAATTTAAAGATGTGTGGTCGAGCGTTTGCGATTGAGTTTCTTGTTGAAATATTTGAGAAGAAATAGTAGTTGAGTTTGCCGGTGTTATGTTGTTGTTTTCTGGTTGTTGAGTTGAGTTCTCTTCTGGTGTTATGTTGTTGTTTTCTTGTTGTTGTGTTGAGTTATTTTCTTTTTTTCGTTTGTCGTTTTGTTTACAGTTGATACTTGTTTGGTTTTGTCCTCTAGTTGAGCCGTTGATTGTTTTGTTGTGATTTTGTCTTGTACTATGACTAGCTGTTTTTTGTCCTGAACAGGTGTATGTTGATCTTTGAAAGTTGCGTTTTCCGTAGATTTGCCATTTAAAACTTGTGCATATGTGATCTTCTTTGAAGTCTTTGGGGGAATAGGTTTGAGTGTGTTGATATTGGGGTTTTCGTTATAAATTTGCCAGGCTTCTCGAATACTGCATTTTCTGGTTATACGCAAGTAGTTCACTGACTTATGTTTCCAAAAAGTTGGGCAGTTCTGATCGTAAGAGGTGTGATCCTCTGTTTGGCAGTTGATACAGAATTTACGTGAACATAAGGTGTTGGGAAACCACATTCCTTACAATGTTCAATTAAGCGGCATCGTTTCTTTGTGTGTCCAAGCTTTTGGCAGTTCATACAACGCATAGGGTTTGGAATATATTCCTCAACAGCGATTCTTTCCCATCCAAGTTTCAGTGTGTCAGGTCTATGATATAAATCAAAAGTTAGAATAGCAGCACCTGTAGCAATATCGATGTTTTTTTCCTTTCTTGTTATTTTCCGAATCTCAATGACCTTCTGATCCCTAAGACATTCACTTAGTTCTTGCTCAGAAATGTTTATTATTTTTCTGGAGTATATACGACCCTGGATTGTATTCAGTGTTTTGTGCAAGGTGATCTTAACGGGAATAGTATCAATAAAAGATGCTCTGAGAAATTTTTCTGCTATTTTATTGTCAGCTACTTTAATTAACAGATCGCCACTTTTCATTTCAGTGACATTCATTCGTTCGCGTGAGATGAAATTTAGTCCCCTCTCGACTTGAAATACGTTGTAGGATGATAGAGGTAAATCTCCGTGTTTTCAGTAATCTGTCTGGTTGATGCAACCAGGTAGCATGGGCAAGGGTACGAAATCCTCCGAGCGAGGTCTCTTTATCTTGGTACGTTTGTTCAATCCGGTTTCGGAAGCCAGCTCCCTAAACCGGTTGTTCGCTAGGGGATGAACCCCGTTCATTATACTCCCGAAACCAGTAATCTATATAAAAAATTGTCCAAAAAGCGAATGAAATAAATTTACCACACAATATACCAAGAATTGGCAAAAAAACTCGATAAATTAAAAACACTTATCGATAACACAAAATTTGTCCAACTGCACGCGTCGCGAGAGTAAATACGTGTTTACTCGGCAATTGCCTGACTAAGACTGGTATATGTATATATGTCTCTCTAATTAAACATATGTCAATTAGCAACCTACTTTCCAAAATATTATTGAACTTATTTAGACCTTTTTGTTCAAAAAAATAGAATGTTTCCGTGATTTGCTTAGTATTTATTTAGTTTAAGCCATTTTCGATTTTTTGAGTTGGGTCACTTGACACGAAATTCTCCATAAACATATACATACATTAGGGTGTCCCGTGGACCATTTTTTAGGAGGAACAATGCGTTTCAATGTACTAAATACGAGAAAAATAAAAAATATTTTTTTTGAAAAGGTCCTCAGTGTCCTACCTGCAATTGAAAGTCTAGATCTCAGAATGTACAATATGTTCAAAAAAAATCTACAATCTTTTTGAAATGGGTGTCAAAAATTTCCTAATTTTGAGCTTATTGCTGGAAAAATAATTAAAATTTTTGTTAGTGTATTTCTGGTCCGCGAAACAACTTATATTGTATTATAAGGGGCATATACATAAATTTCAAAAATTAAAAAAAAAAAAACTGAAATGGACTAAACCAAATGCCAAACTATTTTTTAAATATTTTTCTGTATGAGCTAAAAATTACGACTATTTTGACACCCATTTCGATAAAAAGCGAAAATCATTTTGTACATTTATACGCATCAATTGAGTGGTATTCCGACATGAAATTCTTAAAAAGGCTGTTCCTCGGGACACTTTAATATACACTCATATTACCAAGGACAGAACAATTTATTTTATTTATTTATTCTTTCAATACATAGAACCCTTCGTGGATAATTATAAATGTATTGTTAGATTAATAGCCATGTTCAGTAATAACATTAACAATTTAAATAATAAACAAATTAAATTATAAATAATAACGGAAGATAAATGGCTCCCCAGCTAATTTTGCAAATTGTAATGAATTTTTGGAATACAGTAGGAGAGTGGAATGCATTTACTAGGAGATAAAAGCTCTTCCGATAAAGTATTAATAAAAACAAAGTTTTTCTAAAAAATAGTTGCAAGATGTCTTTATACATATGTATGTACAAAGAAACAATGAATCGACTGGATAAAATAAATACATAATACATACCTGATGCAAATCGGGCTAAGCCGTTGTGATACATGTAAACACGCAATGGGTTAATAGATGTGACTAAGACATATAAACGTAAATCAAATTTACTTCCGTTTATTAACAACGGACGCTCAATGTATTTCTGTACTATGAGAGGTTTTCGTTTAGGTATTTGTGCCCATCTATCGACTACCCGAATTCCAGTACCCCTTGCACTCGCAGGTGGTTTTATTATCCATTTAACATTTTTTTGAGCGTATTTTGGCCAACTTTTTCGTAACTGTTTTAAATCATTTGGTATAATGTAGGTTCTGTTATGCGATACAAATGTGTTTTAATAATTTAAATTTTATATTATAATTATATGAATGTGTGCATTACTTACTTAGGCATAAATCCAAAGTCTTTCTTTCCATGCTTCGCCATTAATTTAACTAAATTTTTCCAACAAGAATCCTTTCGACCGATTTTGAAAGATCCTGGCAAGTGATTGATTTTTTGGTATGGTCGGATTGTTTTAAAACACGGTGATTTCATATGCTTTCCCCAGACACCCATCCAATCATTAGTTTCTATAAAATAATTTCAATATACATACATACATAGATAAATATGTAACTACAATTTAATTTACAAAATATTCATTACTTTTTAATAAACGCATCCCACTATTTGCTAAAATTGAGCGTACTACACGCGGCATGACATTTGTGACTCTCCATTTAAGTATACGATAGAGATCACTCGGAACCTCGGGACCCTTCTTGGTGTTCGAAGAAAACGCTAAATACGGTGGTACGTTCGGAAACAAACTAGGTACTAAAAGAGCATCAGGGTTATCTAAACTTTCAGATTCAGAATTTATTGAAGATTCTACTGATGGCGAAGTAGACACGACATCCAATGAATGCGTTAACTTATAAGCGTACGACCTATAGCCCTCTTCAGAATCTGATGAAATGTCTGAGTCACTACTGCTACCAAAATCTGAAACTGAAGAAGGATCTGATACGTAATCATACATTTTATAACGAAATTTTTAATATTCCATGTACCATTATCAAAATCATCATCATCGTCTACATCACTGTTGTCATCGTCGTTATTTCCATTAAGGTTATCATCATTTTTATTCCCATCACTTTGCTTGCTGCTATCACAGTTTTTTTTATAACTTACAGAATTAAGTACTTGTATATGATCAGCATCATTTTTGTGTTCGCACGATGTTGAACCAACAGCTGCGGTTTTACTATCGTCCTTTGTCTCATTATGAATTTTGAATTTAGATCGTTGTAAACGAGTGTTAGATGTTGATAAACGAGATAGACGTGGACTTTGAATATTGTAAATTAATACTCGGCGATTTTTTGGTGGAGGTGAACATTTTTTTGCAGAAGTATTGCCTAAAAGATATGTACAAAAGTAAATATATAAATACCTGGGAAGTTATACTATTTTTCTGAAAGCTAGATCCGAGTAGAACAAGAATCTGTTTTTGAAATTTGCCAAACACCTCCAAAATCTTGAGATACGGGAAAACCCGCTTTTTCATACTTTTAAGCACTTATAAGTCAGTAACTTATTTGAATCTCAACCGATATAAATAAATAAAAAATACAAATATAACCTAGAGAAATATGTGTGCATTTCATCGACAAATATGTTTTTAATTTTAGTTTTGCACCTTTTTCCAAGATTGGAGATGTTTTTACAAAGTATTTTATATACTTTTATACTTTGTAAAAACATATCCAAACTTGGAAAACGGTGCAAAACTAAAATCAAAAACATGCTTGCCGATGAAATGCCCACATATTTCTCTAGGCTACTTAAACATCAAATATGTCATTATAAATGCCTCAACTAAATCCGTTGAGAAACTTAAAATCGGTTGAGATTCAACTAAGTTACTGACTTGTAAGTGGTTAAAGGTACGAAAAACCGTTTTTTACCCGCATCTCAAGATTTTGGAGGTGGTTGGCAAATTTCAAAAATAGATTCTTGTTCTACTCGGATCCACCTTTCAGAAAAATAGAATCCCTTCCCTGATTTCAATTTTCGTTTATTTTGTCTCACTGTGTTATACATGTTACACTTTTGTCTGTCAGTCATTGTATGACATGGTAATAGAAGTACATATGTAAAATATTATTCAATTATTTTTAGGATAAGAGACTACGCATCGCACAGTGCTCTCATGTAGAACAAAATTTGGCAAAAATAGAAGGAGTTGTCGTAGATTCATGAAATTTGGTACAGGGATTTATATCATAAAGATATGGTAAAATTTTTTTTAAATAAATCTGGCATTTCTAAACGCTTAGTCTGATCGGGACACAGACGTAGCCAAGTAGTATTGGAGTTTAAGTTATGAAAATGGATCACACAAATGCTATAGGGGCTCCGCTATGGGGCTCAAAGTAGGGTACCTTCAACATGTAAAATTTTTAAACGCGTGCCATTTTTTTGTTTCCCTTCCGATATTAAAGATTTTTAATTTTCGATTAGTTAAGCTAAATTTTGATATCAAGTCAATATCTCAAATTATATCGCAAATTATTTATAATGGACACCCTATATTCAAAAAGTACTAACTTAATCTTGTGTCAAAGATAAATTAACATTTTATTCAAAGATTTTGTGTTCCAGTCGACACAAAAGTAAATGTAGGATTTTTTTAATTTCCAAATTTTGACGGCGATGTGCGGTGTCTTACCCTAAAAATAATTGAATATTTTACATTGGTACTTATATTTCACGTTAACATAACTTCACTATTAGAAGTAGATCCGAGCAAAAAAGGGTATTTTGCTCGGTTTTGTATACAAATTTAAATGTCTATAATTACCCTTTGATTTTGTTGGAGTCACTGGTAATTTGATTTGTCTATGAGTGTTCTCCGCTTTGCCATTTAAAGTTTGTTGGTTCTGCTGTCTTTTCACTGATTCGTAAACATTTGAAGCATTTTCATTTTCTACGACGTTATCCATCTCTACAATAGAAATTTGACTACTATAACCAAAATTTGCTCCATTCTCTCCAGAGTTGGTTCGTAATTTACGTTTACTTTTTAGTTGTTCTAAAAACAAGGCTGTAGCTTTGGAGTCCTCTTTACAAAAGCTATTAGAATTATATTCTTGAGCATCAAATGGTTTCAGGTCTAAATAATCCCCTCCAGCATTTTTAACCTGCGCCACATCATTGGAGTCATAATGCCAATTTCCATTCTCAAACGCTTCAATTTCATTATTATTGTTCGAGGTTTTTTCTCTAAGCACATAATTATAATTCGTACGGGGAGTGTTCTCACAATCATTGTCGTTGTTGTTCGCCACCAAATTGTTTGCTTCGACAGATATCAAGTCATATTTGGCTATTAATTGACTTTCGGCAGAATGTAAATTCTTCTTTGAAAATGGCATTTTTGATGTGAACGGCAATTTCCTGCCACGCCCCGAACTACTCACTAGTTTAGAACTGGGACTATTTTGATTATAGAAATAAGAGTAATAGTGCTGGTAGTGTTGTTCTCCCGCAAAATTAGGGCTGGTTTTATCCGAACTACAAAAAAATATAAAAATGTTTTATTAAAGTTATTTAATTACATCGTCCAAAAAAGTTGAAGAGAACAAAAATTTCATAAATTATTATTAAAACAAATATTTTTGGAATAATCGTGTTAGTTTGTGGGTAGTAGGCATTTGTATAATATCATAATAATATAAATACACAAATAAATGATCTAAAGCTTAAAATAAAATCATAAATATTGTTATTAAGTATGTATGTTTGTATTGCATGTATATTTGTATGGTACTTTTAAAAGTTTTTGTAAGAAAAAGGATGGGTCTATTAAACAAAAAAAATTGGTAAACAAAATATGTATGTACGTTTATAGAAAATTAAATAAATTTTAAATATTACGATTTCAGTTGAAGACATTCTGTTGTTGGCAGTGATTGATGATGATGTTTTTCTCCAATAAAGCGGTCACCATATTTTTTGTAATAATTATTATCATTGTTATTGTTATTGGAATTGTGGAGTTTGTTAACAGAACTCTGATGAACACAGAAAGGTGGTATTCCTTGGCTACTATAAACATCTTCATAAGCACTTTTTTTCGCATAATGATAGTGGTAAGTGTGATCATTTTGATTATCATGTTGTAAACTTTGTTGACCATGACGGTACTGATGCTCATGTTTTTGATGTTGTTGACATTCGCTCGCTCTATGATGGTCAGTGTGATGTTGATAACTTAGCTTATGTGTTCTGTATCTAGAAACTGGAGATTTTGGAAGCAAATCGAAGTCATCTTCTATCCCACCATCGTTCTCATAATCATATGTCATTTGTTGATTAAAAACTTCTTGTTGAAATCGTTTTGGCATTTTCATTACATTTTCATCCTCTTCAATACTAACGTTGAATGATTGAGGAAATGAACTATCGTTTGCTATGTTTTTCCCATTGAGAACATAATATGATACATTATCCGTGACTTGAATACTACGACGTTGATGAAATTCACTTTCTGAGTTGTATTTTGAATACATATCACCTTTTTTTGTTTTGTTCATTAAATTTGATATACAGTTTTTGTATGTAACGTATGATTTTTTTCTTTTGGATTCAGCTTATTCTACAGAAAATATATAATAAATAACACACATTCATGAAAATAATTTCAAACATAGATCGTTTTTAATACTCATTTATATACATTAGGATTCGGTTCAAAACATGGCTATAGTCATAATTATGTACAAAGTTGTACTCCTTTACCTTTACCTCCTTTTTTAATACATATGTAACTATAATTTACATAAAACAAAACCTACTGCAAATAAGTATACATAATTAAGATTAATTGCCAATGTTCTTTTACAAAAAAGATGAGAGTGTTCGAAAACATGTTTGTTAGTAATAACGAAACTAACCTACATAAACATTTATTAGCTTTCATTTTACTACATACTTTATTATCTTTAATATGTTTTTTTTTAATAATTGTTTTTATAAAAAAGTGTAATTACTGTTAAGTAAACGTTCTTAATTTTTTGTCCAGCTTTTCACCGGCATTTTTCAGTTTTACTACTGAAAATGTAGAATTATTTGATAACAATCAAAACAAAATTATGTCTCAAATTGAATTTAGTTCAATTTTGAATTATTAAAATTTTATTTTATATATTTCCCTAAATATATGTAATTGAGCAAAGATTTATTTTTTAATATTTTATTTAATATTTTATTAAAAAATGTGAAGCGAGATGGGTGCAACAACGGTTAGTGCAAAAATTTTATAGATTGGATTAATAAATACGAAATTTTAACCGTTATACCATATTAAGTAAATTCGAATAGTGATTGCCCTAATAGTCGGACATGGTCGACCATGATACCCATACGTCAATAAGGATATATTTAAAATGTGATTAATTTGTTAGAAATTTCATTAATTTCGATATACACATCCCTGTTTTGAATTTTACTACTATGTGGAATTTTTCAATTTTTTTTTCTGATAATTTATGCAAGAATAGTAATCAGAATATGTTATTAGTAAGTATTAATCTAATTGATATTTTTAAGTAACACAGCTAACGAAAATTAAAACAAAATAATTCGAAAACAACTAATGATCCGCGAAAATAATCTTTATACTAATCTTTATAATAATCTTTACCAAAATATTGGAAATTGTATTCCCTACAAAAGTTAAAATAACATCTAAAGTCGTACGACGAACAATAATCGCGATATATGCAAATATTTGATACTCATGAGTCATGACCTTTGACTTCCAATATATTATTAAGACTGCCACTTTTAGTTCTTTATTTATATTTTCTAGATAAAGATGAAAACCAGTTTTTATTTTATCTTGTTAAATTCTTAATTTTAGCCAATTTGTGTGCGAATGTAACGTTTACTAAGGTAAATATCGCTGAAGTTATGGATGTAATGCTAACATTATATTATAATTGGTCAAATATACCCCTTAAAGTCAAAAGAATTCTTCAAATCTGTGCATAAAATGGGAAGAACATTTCAATATAAAAAATATTTTCTCAAAAGTCCTATGTGGATTTCTTTTTTTTTTTTTTTTGAATTGCTCTAAAGCGCTTTAATAACAAAAACCTTTACAACCGTTTTAAAACGGTGGAAAGATGGCGGTATTGGTATTTAAACTTATTTCGGTATAGGTGTTTCAGCTGTATCGTTATTTTGGTTTATTACGGTATCGGAATCATATCGATATTGGTATTTTGGCTAATTTCAGTAACGGTAGTAATGTTGAAAATTTATTTTAAGAGATAAAAATGGCCGAGGTAAACACATATAGAAAAAAGCAAAATATTGGAACAGAGCTAATCAAAAATTGGTGAATTTTTTATTTTTTGTAATTTTACAGTTTTTTATTAACCGTCTTGTCTATACCCGAGCAAAATTACGTACATCAATACCCAACATACCCGGGTATGTCATACAATTTATATGGCTATTTCATCTTTTTATACATTTCTAGTGTATAATTCAGATAATTATTAAAACTAATTTAATAAAACGTCTGTATATATATAAATTAAATAGTTTTTGATCATAAACTATTAAATTTTAGCAATTTTTTTTTAAGTTTTCTTATTGCTTTCCTATTAACAAAAATATCATATGCAAAAACCCTAAAGAAAAACGCCTTCATAACGTATAATGTACATTATGCAGAATTTGACTTTGTAGAATTTTGACTTCAAGAAGCTATTACTCAGTGACCGGGCAAGATAATTGAATAAAACATTTTATATATTATTTATTAAGGCGTATAAAATCGATTAGCATTAAAGAAATTGTTTTTGCTTTTGTAAATAGGGAACTTTTTTGCAAAAAAAAAGATTGCTAAATCATGGTCAAAAATTAAAATTTTAAAATTTAAACTTTAAACTTTATATGAGAATAAAATTATTATAATCAGCATAATCTTACTTTACTAAGTCATATACAATAAAAAAAAATATTTCTCAAAATCGGCAAATATTTGTTAATGTTACAGGGTCCACAAATATATCACATTCAAATTTATGAATAACTAGCTATAGCCAGTGTGCTTTGCTACCCTAAAAGCAATATAAATAAAAATTCTTCTTAATAATTTTGAAGATTCTAACTGTAATGTTTTCCAGAGATGCATTTTTTGGGAACGTTAATTAAGATTTTAATGTAATCGATGACAAACTAAAAAAATCTAATATTTTCCCAGATATATGAAATTTTGTATTTAATTCATATAGGGGGTGCCAAGACCCCATTGAAAGTCCGCCCGTTATTCTCTGAATGTTCTCATGAATGTCAAAGTTCTTCAATTAAAATTTGAAGATTCTAGCTCTAATAGTTTCTCAGATATAATATTTTCCTATTTAATTTATATGGGGGCTCCAAGCCCCCATATAAAGGAATTTTTGTATTTTATTAATATGGGAGGTGCTGCTCCCCTCATGGGTAGTCCGTCAATTTATTTCCCAAAATGTTTACATGGATGTTAAAGTTATTCGTGCAAATTTTTAATATTCTAACTATAATAGTTTCCAAGATAAACGAATTTTTGTATTTAATTTATATGGGAGGTGCCACGCCCCCTAATGCTAATCCGCCCACTTTTTGTCTTAAATAATTATATTGATACTAAAGTTGCTCCGACAAAATTTGAAGACTCTAACTATTATATTATCTCAGAAATACTAATTTAATATTTTCTTAATATGGGCGTGGCACGTCGCCCACATGAAATTTCAACATAAAAAGTAGCCTATAGTTCCTTCCAGACATACAGGAAGAAACTGTGAAAATTTCAGGAAAATCGGTCCAGCCGTTTAGCAGTCTATAAAGCACAAACAAACAAACATACATACATACAAACACACTTTCATTTTTATATATATAGAAGACACATGACTCTGTATTTGAAACTATAATTTGTATACATACCGGGGTATGTTGGGTATTGCTACACCAGGTAAAAATAGAAAATCGGTCATAAATCGGTTTAACATATATATCTAACTAATTTTTAGAAAATGTATAGAAAACATTACTCTGAAAGCATAATCCAAATTTCAAGATGATACGATATATAGATCTCGAGATATATCACTTCAAAAATGAAAAACATACCCGGGTATGTGGGTATTGACATAACGGTTAAACAAAATATACAATATGCGGTATCATTTGAAAGGTTTTTTGTGCAATTTTCAAAATTGTGCATACATTTTATTTACATACATACATGTATATTAATGAAAAACCTAACAATTTTAAATTTTTTGGAATATGACATTTATGAGCAGACGGTTATTTATGATTAATATATCATTGGACGCGGCTTTAAAATCGTTTTCAAATGATACCCCATATTGGATATGTTGTTTCAAAACAAAAGTAATATTTAAAAATATAATTCAAAAATACTTTTTATTTAATTTGGTCCAGCTCACGAACGGGCTAGACTTAAAATATTTTGGGAATCATCATAAAACAAAGCAAGGTAAAACACGTTTTTGTTTTCCATACAGAGTGAGTCGGTCTAATATACATACATATGTACCAAATTCAATCAAATTATATTATTAATTTCTTTCAAGCTATACCAGAGTATGAAAACAAACGAAACATTTCGCAAACGTTTCCATAATGTACAAATCTTTTCAACATTTTTAAATCGTTTTATACATGAGCAAAACTTAAACAAATACTTTTTAAGTAAGAAAGAGCGAAAATAAAACAATTGGCTTTTCGCTCATCTAGTTTCTTTTGTTTGCCTTTACAATCATACATTTGAGAACAAAACAAATGCAGAAACGTCCCACTAAACAATTTTTGCCGAATTCGTACCGACAGTCTGCACAAGTTGCCGATTTCGTATCCGAATTCCGTCAGAATTCGTTGCGAAAATCGTATGAAAGGTTGCTCGGAATTCGGAACTCTTTGTCTGAGGAAATTCGGAAAAATGTGCAGAATTTTCGATCAGAATTAGGTACGAAATCTGATGTAAATTCCTGGGGAAATTCTGAAGGAATTTTCGACAAATCTGATTGAAGTCGGACAAATGCCTGATACCATATCTGACATTCTTTCGACATTTCGTATGAAAGTGTGATCAAATATAAGAAAGTCTGATGTCGGATAAATGTCTGATAAAATGTCCGACAGTTCGTTCAAAAATCTGATCAAGTATAAGAAAGTTTGATAGATGTCGGATAAATGTCTGATAAAATGTCCGACATTTCGTACAAAAGTCTGATCAAGTATAAGAAAATGGCCTGACTATTCTGATCAATGTCTGATGAAAACTATTTTCATATATATAATTTATTATGGTTTAATTTTATTAATTTTAATAATAATTTATAAGCTTCCATTATTCATGACTTCTTAAGGGTACATAAATAAATAATAGAAACTTATAGAATATTTTTTAAATTAATAAAATTAAACCATACTACTTACATATTATATACGAAAATAGAGTTCATTATATACATCTATTTAAAATTATAAAATTAAACCATAAAAAATGATGTAATTTTTTGCTATTTTTTGTGTATTAACAAATTTTAAAGAAATTTAAACAATAATCATCTC